TCACAGGTAAACTCACCACCGTGGTGGGAGTCACAGGTAAACTCACCACAGTGGTGGGAGTCACAGGTAAACTCACCACAGTGGTGGGAGTCACATGTAAACTCACCACAGTGGTGGGACTCACAGGTAAACTCACCACCGTGGTGGGAGTCACAGGTAAACTCACCACAGTGGTGGGAGTCACAGGTAAAATCACCACAGTGGTGGGAGTCACAGGTAAACTCACCACCGTGGTGTGAGTCACAGGTAAACTCACCACAGTGGTGGGAGTCACAGGTAAACTCACCACAGTGGTGAGAGTCACAGGTAAACTCACCACCGTGGTGGGAGTCACAGGTAAACTCACCACAGTGGTGGGTATGTCACAGGTAAACTCACCACAGTGGTGGGAGTCACAGGTAAACTCACCACAGTGGTGAGTCACAGGTAAACTCACCACAGTGGTGGGACTCACAGGTAAACTCACCACAGTCTACAAAGGTCAACGTGATAGTTCACATTGACATAATTAATTGTGACATTTTTTTGTGTTAGAGTTGAAGGTGACTCCTGGTGACTCACTATCACCTCACACCTCATAATGTGGTGACTCCTGGTGACTCACTATCACCTCACACCTCATAATGTGGTAACTCCTGGCCTCACTATCACCTCACACCTCATAATGTGGTGACTCCTGGCCTCACTATCACCTCACACCTCATAATGTGGTGACTCCTGGTGACTCACTATCACTACCTCACACCTCATAATGTGGTGACTCCTGGCCTCACTATCACCTCACACCTCATAATGTGGTGACTCCTGGTGACTCACTATCACCTCACACCTCATAATGTGGTGACTCCTGGTGACTCACTATCATCACCTCACACCTCATAATGTGGTGACTCCTGGGCTCACTATCACCACATAATGTGGTGACTCCTGGCCTCACTATCACCACATAATGTGGTGACTCCTGGCCTCACTATCACCTCATAATGTGGTGACTCCTGGCCTCACTATCACCACCACACCTCATAATGTGGTGACTTTTGGCCTCACTATCACCACATAATGTGGTGACTCCTGGCCTCACTATCACCTCATAATGTGGTGACTCCTGGCCTCATTATCACCTCACACCTCATAATGTGGTGACTCCTGGCCTTACTATCACTCCACACCTCATAATGTGGTGACTCCTGGCCTCACTATCACCACCACACCTCATAATGTGGTGACACCTGGCCTCACTATCAGCACCTCACACCTCATAATATGGTGACTCCTGGCCTCACTATCACCTCACGCCTCATAATGTGGTGACTCCTGGCCCTCACTATGACCTCACGCCTCATAATGTGGTGACTCCTGGCCCTCAGTATCACCTCACACCTCATAATGAGTTAACTCATACAAATCATTTTTTATTTGTATGAGGCTTCTCAAACTAGACCTTCTGCTTGGAATAGATCAGACATAGTGCCCATCCCAAAACCCAAAGATCCAGCTAATCCCTGGTCCATCTCTCTCCAAAGCTGTGCAGCCAAGACGGCTGACAGAATGGCACTCAACAGACTGGAGTGGAAAATGCCTAAACTGCACCATGATATGTATGCCTATAGAAGAGGGGTTGGCACAGTGGAATGTATTACAACTCTGTTAGCCCACTTGAATGACAGACCAGGAATGACAGACCAGTGTAGACTGCAGTGTGGAAACCTCCGCTCCTTTCCATGACTGTTACATCTAGAAAGATGGGCAGCTGCCCTTTCTAGATGTAACGGTCATGGAAAGGAGCGGAGGTTTCCACACTGCAGTCTACACTAAGGAAACAAACATAGGAATGTGCCTCAATGCCAACAGCGACTGCCCAGACAGGTACAAGAGGAGTGTTGTTAACGCTTATGTCGACCGTGCTCTCAGCCACAGCTCAGGATGGAAGCAAGTCGACGAAGAACTCTGTAGGGTAAGGTAGGTCCTAGTCAACAATGGCTTCTCCAATGGTTTCGTGGAAGACATCATAAGAAGGAAAGTGAAACGCCATGCAACCTCTGAAGAGACAACTTACACAACACCTATACCCCCTATTAGACTATTTTACAGAAACTTCTTTTCCACAGCTCATAAAACGGAGGAAAGGGTCCTGAAAGATATTGTTAATAGAAACGTTATCCCTACAGACAAAAATCAGAAGATAATTGATGGTTTACTATGAAACCAAAAAAAACGGCCAGCCTACTCATGAGAAACTCTCCAGACACCAAACAGAACGCTTTAAAAGAGACCAACGTCGTCTATGCTTTCAAATGCACACTTGGGGACTGTAAGCCTCAAAGATCTCAGTATATAGGCAAGACAACAACAACATCTTTTTCCAGGCGATTAACGATGCATAAGCAACAGGGCTCCATTAAGGAACATATAATCTCTTCCCACAACCAAACCATCACCAGAGAAGTCTTAACAAAAAACATAGAAATCATCGATAGATACAGCGATAGCAGGCGGCTAGATATCTGCGAGGCACTACACATTAAGAAGTCAACACCAGCAATCAACAGCCAATTAATGCACAACTATATTCTACCCACTTCAACACTCGCACCAATATAGAAGCATCAAGAAATATGGGCCAATAGGCCCTTTGCAGTTACTTCCATTCTTCCCTTTAATTTATCCAATATATACCCATTGTTTCGTGTTCTGTCTTGTGTTGAAAGTTTTGTTCACCTCATCCAAAACTGTTGTAACATATCACCTCACCAAAATGCGGGTATATAAGATGAAAGCTGTTTAAAATTATAGCATAGAAGAACTCTGTTTAGTGTTTTCAGGTTATAGTTGTGTGTGTGTAAACTAAAGTCTTTGAAAATGTAATAAGTTATTACGAAACGCTTTCAAGTGTCGCGTCAGACTAGAAATAAAAATGAACTTTGGAGAATTGATTTTTCAATTACCATCGACAGTGAAAAGAAACATAAGAAATATTGAGAAAATTCGTGTTAGAATTATTAATCTTACTTTTTCGGTCATATTTAATAATATATGTCTACAGGAAAGACTGCTAACAAAATATACTAATATATATATATATATATATATATATATATATATATATATATATATATATATATATATATATATATATATATATATATGTCGTACCTAGTAGCCAGAACGCACTTCTCAGCCTACTATGCAAGGCCCGATTTGCCTAATAAGCCAAGTTTTCATGAATTAATATATTTTCTCTAATTTTTTTCTTATGAAATGATAAAGCTACCCATTTCATTGTGTATGAGGTTAATTTTGTTATTGGAGTTAAAATTAACATAGATATATGAACGAACCTAACCAACCCTACCTAACCTAACCTAACCTTTATCTTTATAGGTTAGGTTAGGTCAGGTAGCCAAAAAATTTAGGTTAGGTTAGGTTAGGTAGGTTAGGTAGTCGAAAAACAATTAATTCATGAAAACTTGGCTTATTAGGCAAATCGAGCCTTGCATAGTAGGCTGTGAAGTGCGTTCTGGCTACTAGGTACGATATATATATATATATATATATATATATATATATATATATATATATATATATATATATATATATATGACAGCTATATCATAGAAAATATTGTTATATTGATTATAAGATAAGCGCCAAGGAATATTTACCTGGGTTATGTCGCTGTCTCGTGTCCTAACCGGGAAATATCTTAAATCTATATATTAAAGTGCTCTAATAAGCTAGATAATATAGGAATCAGATATGACACCTCCCTTGACAGTAGAGGAAGCTGATGATGATGATGATGAAGATTAAGCCACCCAAAAGGTGGCATGGGCTTGAATAGCCCATAAGTGGTGGCCCTTTTGAGCCATTTCCAGTATCAATAGATGATACTGGAGATCTGTGGAGGTGCGACTGCACCCTGCGTGACCGGAGATGTCTCCCGTGAGAGGAAGCTGCGTCTTGATAACGGAAGCTCTCCACTTCCGTGACACAGTTGTCCATGGGGAATTTATAGGAGCTAAATTTGCTCCAGCGACTTGTTGAAACTAACAATGGCTGACTCCCTCCTCCACTGACGGCGCCCCGGCTCTCTTGTCCAGATGTTGCGAAGTGGTAGAAAGGTCACATTTACTCCGTTTTGGTACTGTTAATTAAGTTAATTCTAGTGAGGTGGTTTTGTGATGTTAACAGACTAAAGACTGATGTGTTAAGACTAATGCCCAACAGAATTAGCTGGTGAAATTAATAGCGACATGGCAATGATATCTTGTTTTCCACGGGAGGAAATGTCGTTTTCTATGAGTCAATTTATTATTTGCGAACAGCAGCAATATTATCTGCATATTGTATTGAATATTAGTCAATTGTGTCGGGTTTTCCGACAAAACCAACCTAACCTAACCTAACCTCACCTCACCTAACCTAACCTAACCTAACCTAACCCAACCTAACCTCACCTCACCTCACCTAACCTAACCTAACCTCACCTAACCTAACCTAACCTAACCTAACCTAACCTAACCTAACCTCACCTCACCTAACCTAACCTAACCTAACCTAACCTAACCTAACCTAACCTAACCTAACCTAACCTAACCTCACCTCACCTAACCTAACCTAACCTAACCTAACCTAACCTAACCTCACCTCACCTAACCTAACCTAACCTAACCTAACCTAACCTAACCTAACCTCACCTCACCTCACCTAACCTAACCTAACCTAACCTAACCTCACCTCACCTCACCGAACCTAACCTAACCTAACCTAACCCAACTTAACCAAATGTAACTCAACCTAACCCAACCTAACTTAACCTAACTCAAACCTAACCCAACCTAACCAAACATAACCCAACCTAACCCAACCTAACCTAACGTAGCTCAACCTAACCCAATTCAGCCTAACCTAACACACATGACAAGATAATGGTCGAGGAGGGACCGTAACGAGGTCATCTCATCATCTTCTAGTGTGTGGTCATCACATCTTCAGCCCCGTTATTGTGACTCATCGTCTGCATAACCTAACAGCATACTGTTGTTGGTGTACAGCATGGTTGGCTTGTTCCACACTCCTGTGTAGTGCTCGCACTGCTGGTGCCTTGCATCCACGGTGTACTGCATGGTTGGCTTGTTCCACACTCCTGTGTAGTGCTCGCACTGCTCGTGCCTTGCATCCACGGTGTACAGCATGGTTGGCTTGTTCCACACTCCTGTGTAGTGCTCGCACTGCTCGTGCCTTGCATCCACGGTGTACAGCATGGTTGGCTTGTTCCACACTCCTGTGTAGTGCTCGCACTGCTCGTGCCTTGCATCCACGGTGTACTGCATGGTTGGCTTGTTCCACACTCCTGTGTAGTGCTCGCACTGCTGGTGCCTTGCATCCACGGTGTACTGCATGGTTGGCTTGTTCCACACTCCTGTGTAGTGCTCGCACTGCTGGTGCCTTGCATCCACGGTGTACTGCATGGTTGGCTTGTTCCACACACCTGTGTAGTGCTCGCACTGCTCGTGCCTTGCATCCACGGTGTACTGCATGGTTGGCTTGTTCCACACACCTGTGTAGTGCTCGCACTGCTGGTGCCTTGCATCCACGGTGTACTGCATGGTTGGCTTGTTCCACACTCCTGTGTAGTGCTCGCACTGCTCGTGCCTTGCATCCACGGTGTACAGCATGGTTGGCTTGTTCCACACTCCTGTGTAGTGCTCGCACTGCTCGTGCCTTGCATCCACGGTGTACTCTACACTGGCCTGGTGTATGGGTGTAGTGTACACCACAGGTGGACGGCCCCAGGGTGTACACTACACTGGCCTTGTGTATGGGTGTAGCGTACACTGTGTACACCACAGGTGGACGGCCCCAGGGTGTACTCTACACTGGCCTTGTGTATGGGTGTAGCGTACACTGTGTACACCACACTGGCCTGGTGTATGGGTGTAGTGTACACCACAGGTGGAGGTCCCCAGGGTGTACACCACACTGGCCTGGTGTATGGGTGTAGTGTACACCACAGGTGGACGGCCCCAGGGTGTACACCACACTGGCCTGGTGTATGGGTGTAGTGTACACCACAGGTGGACGGCCCCAGGGTGTACACCACACTGGCCTGGTGTATGGGTGTAGTGTACACCACAGGTGGACGTCCCCAGGGTGTACTCTACACTGGCCTGGTGTATGTGTGTAGCGTGCACTGTGTACACCACACTGGCCTGGTGTATGGGTGTAGTGTACACCACAGGTGGACGTCCCCAGGGTGTACACCACACTGGCCTGGTGTATGGGTGTAGCGTACACTGTGTACACCACACTGGCCTGGTGTATGGGTGTCGTGTACACCACAGGTGGCCGGCCCCAGGGTGTACACCACACTGGCCTGGTGTATGGGTGTAGTGTACACCACAGGTGGACGGCCCCAGGGTGTACACCACACTGGCCTGGTGTATGGGTGTAGTGTACACCACAGGTGGACGGCCCCAGGGTGTACACCACAGGTGGCCGGCCCCAGGGTGTACACCACACTGGCCTGGTGTATGGGTGTAGTGTACACCACAGGTGGACGGCCCCAGGGTGTACACCACAGGTGGACGGCCCCAGGGTGTACACCACAGGTGGCCGGCCCCAGGGTGTACACCACACTGGCCTGGTGTATGGGTGTCGTGTACACCACAGGTGGCCGGCCCCAGGGTGTACACCACACTGGCCTGGTGTATGGGTGTCGTGTGCACCACAGGTGGCCGGCCCCAGGGTGTACACCACAGGTGGACGGCCCCAGGGTGTACACCACAGGTGGACGGCCCCAGGGTGTACTCTACACTGGCCTTGTGTATGGGTGTAGCGTACACTGTGTACACCACAGGTGGACGTCCCCAGGGTGTACACCACACTGGCCTGGTGTATGGGTGTAGTGTACACCACAGGTGGACGGCCCCAGGGTGTACACCACACTGGTCTGGTGTATGGGTGTAGTGTACACTGTGTACACCACAGGTGGACGGCCCCAGGGTGTACTCTACACTGGCCTTGTGTATGGGTTTAGCGTACACTGTGTACACCACACTGGCCTGGTGTATGGGTGTAGTGTACACCACAGGTGGACGTCCCCAGGGTGTACACCACACTGGCCTGGTGTATGGGTGTAGTGTACACCACAGGTGGACGGCCCCAGGGTGTACACCACACTGGCCTGGTGTATGGGTGTAGTGTACACCACAGGTGGACGGCCCCAGGGTGTACACCACACTGGCCTGGTGTATGGGTGTAGTGTACACCACAGGTGGACGGCCCCAGGGTGTACACCACACTGGCCTGGTGTATGGGTGTAGTGTACACCACAGGTGGACGTCCCCAGGGTGTACACCACACTGGCCTGGTGTATGGGTGTAGCGTACACTGTGTACACCACACTGGCCTGGTGTATGGGTGTAGTGTACACCACAGGTGGACGTCCCCAGGGTGTACTCTACACTGGCCTGGTGTATGGGTGTAGCGTACACTGTGTACACCACACTGGCCTGGTGTATGGGTGTAGCGTACACTGTGTACACCACACTGGCCTGGTGTATGGGTGTAGTGTACACTGTTTACACCACAGGTGGACGGCCCCAGGGTGTACACCACACTGGCCTGGTGTATGGGTGTAGTGTACACCACAGGTGGACGGCCCCAGGGTGTACACCACAGGTGGCCGGCCCCAGGGTGTACACCACACTGGCCTGGTGTATGGGTGTAGTGTACACCACAGGTGGACGGCCCCAGGGTGTACACCACAGGTGGACGGCCCCAGGGTGTACACCACAGGTGGACGGCCCCAGGGTGTACACCACAGGTGGCCGGCCCCAGGGTGTACACCACACTGGCCTGGTGTATGGGTGTCGTCTACACCACAGGTGGCCGGCCCCAGGGTGTACACCACACTGGCCTGGTGTATGGGTGTCGTGTGCACCACAGGTGGCCGGCCCCAGGGTGTACACCACAGGTGGACGGCCCCAGGGTGTACACCACAGGTGGACGGCCCCAGGATGTACACCACAGGTGGACGGCCCCAGGGTGTACACCACACTGGCCTGGTGTATGGGTGTAGTGTACACCACAGGTGGACGGCCCCAGGGTGTACACCACACTGGCCTGGTGTATGGGTGTAGTGTACACCACAGGTGGACGGCCCCAGGGTGTATACCACACTGGCCTGGTGTATGGGTGTAGTGTACACCACAGGTGGACGGCCCCAGGGTGTACACCACAAGTGGACGGCCCCAGGGTGTACACCACACTGGCCTGGTGTATGGGTGTCGTGTACACCACAGGTGGCCGGCCCCAGGGTGTACACCACACTGCCCTGGTGTATGGGTGTAGCGTGCACTGTGTACACCACAGGTGGCCGGCCCCAGGGTGTACACCACACTGGCCTGGTGTATGGGTGTAGTGTACACCACAGGTGGACGACCCCAGGGTGTACACCACAGGTGGACGGCCCCAGGGTGTACACCACACTGGCCTGGTGTATGGGTGTAGTGTACACCACAGGTGGACGGCCCCAGGGTGTACACCACAGGTGGACGGCCCCAGGGTGTACACCACACTGGCCTGGTGTATGGGTGTACCGCCGCCCCCACTCTCTCTCTGACCTTGGCAGCGACGGGCTCTGAATGTTTAATGGGACTTTACAACAGCACGTTTAATGGTTGACTGATTGTAAAGTGGTGCAGGACTACCACCATGGTGGCCACGGTTGTTACTGGGACCTGTTGTGGTAGTCCAGGACCCTTACCTTGAGACGATTTCGGGGCTTAGCAACCCCGCGGCCCGGTCCTCGACCAGGCGTCCTGGTTGCTGGACTGATCAACCAGGCTGTTGGACGCGGCTGCTCGCAGCCTGACTTATGAGTCACAGCCTGGGTGATCAGGTATCCTTTGGAGGTGCTTATCCAGTTCTCTTTTGAACACTGTGAGGGGTCGGCCAGTTATGTCCCTTATGTGTAGTGGAAGCGTGTTGAACAGTCTCGGGCCTCTGATGTTGATAGTTCTCTCTTGAACACTGTGAGGGGTCGGCCAGTTATGTCCCTTATGTGTAGTGGAAGCGTGTTGAACAGTCTCGGGCCTCTGATGTTGATAGTTCTCTCTTGAACACTGTGAGGGGTCGGCCAGTTATGCCCCTTATGTGTAGTGGAAGCGTGTTGAACAGTCTCGGGCCTCTGATGTTGATAGTTCTCTCTTGAACACTGTGAGGGGTCGGCCACTTATGTCCCTTATGTGTAGTGGAAGCGTGTTGAACAGTCTCGGGCCTCTGATGTTGATAGTTCTCTCTTGAACACTGTGAGGGGTCGGCCAGTTATGTCCCTTATGTGTAGTGGAAGCGTGTTGAAGAGTCTCGGGCCTCTGATGTTGATAGTTCTCTCTTGAACACTGTGAGGGGTCGGCCACTTATGTCCCTTATGTGTAGTGGAAGCGTGTTGAACAGTCTCGGGCCTCTGATGTTGATAGTTCTCTCTTGAACACTGTGAGGGGTCGGCCAGTTATGCCCCTTATGTGTAGTGGAAGCGTGTTGAACAGTCTCGGGCCTCTGATGTTGATAGTTCTCTCTTGAACACTGTGAGGGGTCGGCCAGTTATGCCCCTTATGTGTAGTGGAAGCGTGTTGAACAGTCTCGGGCCTCTGATGTTGATAGTTCTCTCTTGAACACTGTGAGGGGTCGGCCAGTTATGCCCCTTATGTGTAGTGGAAGCGTGTTGCTTTCTGGCCCGTTGTAGTCATGAAGGGGCTTGGTGGGCGGCTGCCGGAGTATGATGCTCCATGGAACAGCCCTCTGTCCTTTTGAAGCCTTATGTTCCTGCTGCTGTCTTCACCAATTGTGCCAGAAATCTTTTCATTTTCCTTGTGTTTCATTTTCCTCTCCCCCTTTTCTCCTTTCTCATTATCATTTCCTGCCGACCTTTTGCCAGTCTTGATTATTCTTTCGGACTTCTTCTGTTTTGATGCCCGGGTGTTTGGGGAGCCATACTCTCTCACCCATAGAACTGTAGTACCAATGTCTCGAGCGAGGGGACCCTTTTATTGTAAATCCTTCTTTCGTCGCTGAACCCGATCTTGACAGACTGACGGTTCTTAAGGTGGCGATTGTGGGGCATATACTTACGACGCACCCCTGGGGGGGCCCGCAAGATCGGCAACATGTCTCTTGTTGGGTGTCCTATCCTCTAATTGTGGCTCCGTGGTGGGTACGGGGGCACATTCGTGAATGAAAGTATTACCTCTTGTTTCCATGTTGCTGAATACTGTTCCTCTTATAACTTCTCGGGCTCATGGGGTGGGCGACCAAGCCCCCGAGTTGGACTGTGTTGGAAGACCGGGCTCTGTAGCCCCTGCTACATTGGGCCCAGACCTAGCTCCTCCTTTGACCCTCCTGACTACTTCCCCGGCTCCCCTCCCTCCTCTGTGGTTGGGTCGAGCCACACGCCCCCAGCGGTGACCACCTCGTCTCCTGGCATGGCTCAGGTCTCTCATTGTGACTACTGCACCTTTTAACCCCTCTCTCTCTGGGGGTCCTCAACGCCGTCCCCGCCACGGCCGCACTCGCACGATCCCTTCCCATACTAATACGTACCAAGCCTTGTTTGGTCCTGCTTCGTGGGCTAAATACTTTGATCTCCTCCCTCTGGATTCTACACCTCCTGACGATT